TCCTTGTTCTCCAGGATAACATTCTGTCCGATGCGTGCGTTCTTGTCCACAATGGCGTTGCTGCACATCCCAGAGACACACACACAGCAATACACAGGAACACACAGTAAGGAACACACGGATCAACATTTCAGCACTATGGTCTTTCCCGCATCTGGAACACACCTTGCTCAACTGCTGGCCCCACTGGTAAAACCCCCATTCTCCCTCCCATCGATCAGGTTGGCTCCAGAGCCCACAGCCGCCTTGCTTGCTGCCAGTAGCATGCTTCCCAACCTCTCTAGATTGCACCATATGATCCCGCTGAACACACAGCCCACAGCCCTCTCTCAACTTTAGAACGTCGCCAGTGCCCACAGCACATCTGATATTTGTTTTGGCACGGACACCTTGCTCACCATACCTCTGCCTCTCCCCTCTCCACTACCACCCCTTCCAATGCCCACAGCGCACCTGATAATGGTGCTGGCGCCGATTCTCACCGGCACCGTGCCTGCTGCCAGCAGCAGCAGCGCGGTCCTCTCTGTGTCCCTCTCATACCTCAAGGACACCACGCCATACACCTCTCGATGTCCCTTTAGCCCGTCCTACACCTCTCAGGGCCCACAGCGCACCTGATGATCGTGTTGGCGCCAATGCCCACTGGCACCTTGCCTGCGGCCAGCAGCGCGGCCCTCTCCGCGTCCGTCTCGTAAAAGTCAGCCCCCACCACCATGGTGTCCTGTGGATACCAGAGGCGTGCCACACAACAGGTGCAGGAGAAGAAAGTGAGGGAGTGAAGGGGCGATTGATGGGGAGAGGTGAGAGAGGGTGGCAGCCCCAAGAAAATCTCCCGCCGTAGCCACTCCCTGCTTCGCCATAGCCAATCTCTGCTCCCGCCGTGACTGTCCCTCGCAGCTCTGAATCACACCCACACCCCATACTGCTTCGAGCATCACACACACCCATACTCCTCTGCTCTGCACCACTCTGACTCCATCTGCATCACACCACACGGCGCCAGTTCTTTGTCCAGAGAACCAGCTACTGCCAGCGCCGGTACCATCCCGGTGCAACATCTTTCCAGCAGCACCTTGATACGATGTGCGTGCCTTTCCCTCTAGAAAAGACGGGGGGGGCGAGTGACTGACCTTGAGAATGACGCCGTTCTCGAGTCTGGAACGGATGCCCACGATGCAGTGGTCCACCGTGCAGTCGCGCAGGAAGCACCCGTGTGAGATAATCGACCGCTTCACCTGCTCGTACACAGGAATGCACACGCGCCCGGAAGTGAGCAACGCGTAGCAGATTAATACAGCGCTTCAAGACCCTAGACAAGCAGTGGTAGGGATATTGTAGGAGGATATTTAGGAAGATGAGTGGCATGGCGGTAGGCAGAGGCGGGCGTACCTGGCAGCGTTCAATCTGCGTGGGCGGCAGGTAGCGCGGCGACGTGTAGATGGGGTTGGCCGCGTCGTAGAACCTGAACTTGGCGTCCTGTCATGTGGTGGCCGGGAAGGTTTGGGGAGGCGGTTGGGGGCGAAAGGTTAGAGAGGAGATTCATTGTACAGATACGCATGAGTCGAGTTCATTCGCTGGTGGACACACGCGAGAACTGACAGGCAACGAGTGAACAGAACACGGGTGTTTCAGAAAATGGACACTGGGGGCAGGTGAGGCAAGCCCGGGAGTAGCGGAGAATGGAGTGGGCCAGGGCATGGAGAGGGGAGAGAGGAGAGTGGAGAAGGGCTAAGGGCGTACAGTGTCGGTGAGGTTGAGGTTGGCGTCAAAGAAGGACTTGATGGTTCCGATGTCCTCCCAGTACCCGCCGAACAGGTATGCCTGCACGTTGTACTCGGCGGCCGACGCGGGGATGATCTCTCCGCCGAAGTCGTTGGACGTGGGGAAGCGCCACCTGCGCGCAGAACGAGGCAGCAACGGGCGTGAGCGACGACAGCATGTTGGCGTTACATGAGCACAACGCGCGCATCGAGTATGCGCGGGACGAGGACATGTTGGCAAGGAGAGAGGAACCGACCGAAGCGGGACGGGAGTACGTGGGAAGTGCGTCGAGAAAACGTCAGGAGCGGCGGCAGCATTACCCGAAGAGGCGAGACCGCATTACTTGAGGAGCGGCGGCAAGAATACCTGACTAACGGCATGGGGTTACCTGAGGAGCTTGAGCAGGATGTCCTTCTTGAAGACGTAGATGCCCATTGACGCAATGTAGGGGAACTTTGCCGCCTCCTCCTTGGAAATGCCGAGAATCGACGTGTCCACCTCCTGGTAGCCAGCAGCGGGAGAGCACGGAAGGGGAGGGAGGGGGAGGGTGGGGGGGTCTACGAAAAATGAAGGGCACGCAGGTAACATGGGGGTCGCGCGTATTCCCAGAAAGAAACATCAGGGGGAAGAACGACGCGGTAATAACGGACGCGAGTCCTACGACTGACGGGTGCAGCCCTTCAACTGACCATGGCCTTGAGGTCGGCACCCTTGGGCTTCTCTGCAAAGCTGACGACGCGGCCGGACTCGTCGATCTTCATCAACCCGAAGTCGGACGCGCGGCTGCGAGCAAGGACAGCGAATCATGCGTTAAAACACCAGCGTACCAAACGGAAACTCGACGCATTGCAACGCTCGGGATAGAGTAGCACAGAGGATATTGATATTCCAGGAGTTGGTAAGTTGTGGTGTGGCGGCATTCACCTGTCGTCCATGGGCAGAACGGAGATGGTGATGTCGGCGTTGGTGTCCTTGTGCTTCTGCAGTCGGCAACAATCAAGAACAGAATCATTGCAACGCTCGTTAATAAACAGAGTCTCTAATCAGGAGTGAAAGTGGACAGCCATGACATACAGGGTAGTCAGTGACATTGCTCAAGGTTCAAATTTCCACTGATGCTCAGAGAGGCCTGGCGCATTGCCTGCACGAATGCACGTTACCTGCACGAAGTCCATGTAGTCCATGCGATAGAGATGGTCGCCGGACAGAATGACCACATCCTCCACGTGCTTGTTCTTCACATCCTGCCACACCCCAACACCGTCCCCAGGTACGCACACCGTGAGGCGCTTGACAAATGTGCCAAGCTATCGTTGTATCTATGTTCTAATCTGACAAAAGACGCCAAAAAAACGTGAAAGTGGCCCGTGAAGAGCGAGCGACGGTCGCACCTCGAAGAGCCAGGAGAACTGCCGCACGGCATCGGCGGTTCCTTGAAACCAGTTGGAGCCCGTCGCAGGGGTCTGGGTGGCCGCAAGAGCCTGAGGAAAAAGGAACAGGAAACAGCAAAACAAGAGAGAGAAAATAATCGGTTTGACCGCATGCATTTCCTATAGGAATGGAAGATAATGTGAGATAGAAGCGACGAGGTGCACGAGTACGCACCTCGACGAATCCGTCGCCAAAGTTGACGCCGTTGCCGAAGTTGTAGGTGCGCGCCAAGTGACGGTTGAGCGAGGCGGAGTTGAACTGCGTGAGGATGTACACCTTGTTGATGCCGCTGTTGATGCAGTTGCTCATCGGCACGTCGATCAGCCGGTACGCGCCGCCGATGGGCACCTGGCCAACGGAAAGATCGGCATGACATAGATTCACGCGTCAGCCAACATAATATGCAGAGTGTGCCTGGAAAACTAAGGCGCACATAGGATCTGATGGATTCATTCCTCGGCTACGATGCGTACCGCGGGCTTGGCGCGGGTCTTGGTGAGAGGGAAGAGACGCGTGCCTGCACCTCCACCGAGAATCACCGAGACGACCGACTTGGGATCGGCGCGCTTTGTCCTTGCCTGCCATGGATGAGAAATGGCGTACGAGGTAAGTAAGCTATCAGAACTACTTCCCAAGGAGAACTATGGACGAACGCTAGATTGAGGCTACGGCGAGGTCTGTCCTTACCACAGACTGCTGTGGTGTGGCTTCGGCGAGAACGGCGGAAACGGCAGCTTTCTTGGCTGCGCGCACCGCGACCTTCTTAGACTCGCATCTCAAGGCCTTGCCTTTCAGCCCTGACTGCGCAAATCCCGCAACTTTCTCGCCGGAAAACGCCTTCCTGGACGCGGCATCGCTGGCCGATACGGCTGCAGGGACCGACAGGCTTCGCACAGCGGTGGCAGCCATTTTAGTGTTATCTAGCACTCTTGGATGTGGAAAGATGTGCTAATCTGTGTCAAAATTCCACGACTCCTGTCTTGGAATTCTGCTGGTCGCTCCTTGTGAAACAGAAGCAAGAACAGTTACGTATAGAAGCAGCATCCTTTCTACGCCTGCTCCACTGTACCATGGGGAATTGTGGGGAATTTTGGCACTGTGGCTTATCTTCCAGACCTAGTGGATGAGAACGCACCTTGGCAGGTGGTCCCTGATCCATGGCGGAAAGCTGCCAGCGTGGCATGCAGCTGTGCTGGCGACAGTCGTCTGCCTGCTCGCCGGGCACTCGAGAAGCTCGTGCCCCGTCACGCGCACTGTCGTCCGTCAGCGATCTCCAGGAAGATCCGTCGCTGGTAACATGCGACGCAGCCACGTGGCGAAGGTTAAGAGCTTGTGGGGAGTCATGGCGGACATGGAGGGTCTTCACTTCTCAGCCACTGGTTTGAACGAATCAAAAGATATTCGTACGCCACCACAAAGCATCTTGAACTCTATATCGAAAAACACTAGAACGATAGAATGTATGCCAGGATAGAATAATCTTTGAACCCAAACTACCCCATTTCAAATGCACTAGGTAGGAGCTGGGCCCACAACTTGCTAACGTGGTGTATTGGTGCTGTCACTGAACTGACACAGCTGGATAAGCGCTTGTAGTTTCTATCTGTATGGTGATCAATCGGTGCCATGACAGTGTTTTTACTACAAACTATCACAATCTTCAAGTAACTCAGTTACCTAGCTACATGCCACTGACTGTACGTAGGGTACCGTATGTACAAAATTTACAGGCATCTTCACCGTCAACATTGAAGAGCCACCATCCCTCAGGAAGACTATTGTACTGTGGCTAGTACAGCAACAAACTTTCAGGCCCCGCGAAAGAAGTCAGATGCACTGGCATTGCCTTCACGCAGCACATGCCTCCTCCCACCCACAACCTCGTTGCACTCAGGACAACGAGACTCCACCCACGCCCTGCCACACTCCCCTATCACATACACATGCCCGTTCGGGCACCGGTACCAGTGCCCTCGTCCCAGACCTATCGCTCTGTACACATCACCCTTCTCACGCTCCGTCAGCGCGAAGTAACGTGGCGCGCCCTCAACACATGCTTCCAGGGCAGGTAGCTCCTCATCGAGCAGCTTCCGAGCGCTTTCTCCAAGGCTGGCCTCCACTCTGATGGAGAGCAAGTGGTGATTGGCCACCATGCCACACTGTGTCCTGGCCTTCTCCAGATACTCCAGCTGCTGCCTCTTTGCCATATCCTGCAAGAAAGCACAATGCCAAGGTGAAGTTGACAGGAGGTTTTTGAAAGTGTGCGATATTTAGGATGAGTCATGAGGGCATGTTAGGAGTTGCAGCAAATAGACACAACAGCAGCGGTGATCTCACCAGGGCAGCCGGGGTGTTAGAGAGCAGGCGTTCCGCCATCAAGCCCTGCACGAACGCACACAACACATCTACCAGCTCCAGCCGTGCCCTCGCCTCCAGCCGCACCGCCTTGCGCCGCCCAGCCCACTCCACCGCCTCCCCCACATGCCTCTCCGCGCTCCTCACACTCGTCCGCACCACCTCCCTGCACCTCTCCACACAGCGCGTCAGATACACCACCTTCCTCCTGCTGCTGCTGCAGCTGCTGCTGCTCTCCCCGCTCGCGCCAGCCAGAGTCCTCTGGAGATTCCCCAGGAGATTCCGCAGTTGGAGGAAGTTTGCTGCCATGAGCAGCTGGAAGGCCTTCCCTAGCATCATGCGCGCTTCACAGAGGGGGCGTGGATCCGGGTGGGGGACATACAGCAACTGGCACTCCTCCTCCCATGTGGACTCAGACGACCCCACACGCCCTTGCCTGCCCTTCCTGCTATCAATGGCGAGTGACCTATGCCCAAGCATGTAGTGTCGTCTCTGTAGGGCCGCTACAGAGGCCTGGTAGGTCTGCTGCGTTGGTGGGTTCCCAGCGGTGGCACACAGCTGGCCTGTCTCATGCACCAGGCGTGCTGCCGCCTGAGCTACCTCCTGCAGTCGCCTGGGCTGAGCGGATTCTGTGAGTGAGGAAATCACCTGGCTCAACCGGGCTAGCTTCCTCTGCACCGCTTCTTGGTCTGCCAAGCAGCTGAGAGCGAACTTGCGCTCTGATTGGTCCAGCAGGGCCTTGTTCACCATCCTGCCATAACGGCGGAGCCCTGTGATAGGCTGACGGCACTCTGGGCAGCCCTTGAGAGCAGACAAATCACCATCCTCAAACGGTAGCACTGCCACCCACTTGCGCCCACACTTCCCTCCACCTGCGCTCATCCCACTAGACCCACTCGCACCCCCATTTATCCCACCAGACCCACCATCCGCGTCTAGATAAACTTGGTTCAACCCCATGTGGCCATCCAGAGTATCCACCGTATAAGCATGTCCGCATCCCAGTACAAGCACAGGGCTCTCATCCGGTTCAATCTCCCCTAGCGTCTCCAGTGTGACTAGATCCACTGTCAACCCTTTCTTCTCCGCTGCCCCACACCCAGCAGCCGTGCAAAACGCCTCCGAAGGGCATTTCTCAGCACAGAGAGACGGACACTGGTGGCCGCACTTGAGCGTTTTCTCACACCGTTCCTCGCAGGGGAGGAGGTCGCAGGGGGCGCCGCAGGGGAGGGAGCACGCCCCTTGGTGAATGCAGCGCCACCCGCAAGGCTCGGCGCACGGGGCACAGGTGCGGTGGCAGGGCTGCGGGCAGGAGCTGTGCTGGCAGGCCACGAGGCACTTGCGCGTGCAGGGGCTGCAGGGTCGGTCGCTGTGGCAGGTGTCGGGACACAGGTGGCCGCAGGGGAGGGGCCGCTCGCACCGCTGCATGCACTTCCTGTGCTTCCTTGCCAACCGCTGCTGCTGCTGCTGCTGCTGGTGTGCCTGTGTCTGCTGGGGCTCTGTGGTGGCAGCTGGGTCAAGGATGCAGTGGCCGCAGGGAGAGATGCACGTGTGCCCGCAGGAATCCTCGAGCACAGCCCCGCAGCGAGCGGTGCAGAGCTTGGGGTTGCTTGTCCTGGCTGCCGCCTCGCTGCACTTGACTGTCTGCTTGTGCCTGCACAGTGGCATCGTCACCTCCACTCTCTCCCTGCCATGAGCCACACGATTGGATTAACAAATGATGCTCGTACGGGCACCACAGGCAGTTCGAAACAACGAGGTCAGGTAAAAAAAGAGTGGAAATAGAGGTAAAAAAAAGAGTGGAAATAGAGGTAAAAAAAAGAGTGGAAATAGGAGAATGGATGGAAGAGGAGACAGATGGATGAACTCACGGGCAGAAGATGGAGTTGGGCTTCTGAGCTTGGAAGCACGGAACATTGACGGCTGGATGGCCACACGGGAGGGTGAGGTCTCTGATGGTGACCGAGCAGGGGCCACAGGGCTCCCCACACTGCTTGGGGCACGTGTGCTGGTACGGACACTCCTCCATTGGCCGGATCCGGTTGCACTCCTTGGGACAGAACGCCCTCGCGTGTGCCCTGTCATCGCCGTGGCACCTGTTGGGTGAAGGAAGGAGGACAGATGGGTGACGAAGATGGAAGGGTGTCTCTAAGCATTGTTGGAAGCACAAGTGCTGCTATGAATCCCGGCACGATACTTGCGTGCCATGCATGCATGCATGCACTTCAGGCTATGCCTGCACGAACCACATACACCCATATCTGACCTGCGGGGGCAGGTGTGACCGCAGGGGGTGAGGCGGAAGCCGCACATCTGGGAGCACCCGCCCTCACTGGCCTTCTCCCTGAACTCCCTCGCCTCATGAATGTGCGTCACCGTGTCGCTGTGGTTCACACACCGCAGGGGAATGGACCTTCCAATGCGCCCCCTGCTCTGCAGGATGGTGAGGATTCGCGGCCAGAGCACGGACTTAGAGCTCGCTCTCATGGTGCTCGCGTTGCCTGCTCTCAGAGTGGGGATTGGGACGGAAGGGGGTAGAATGCCCCAGGGAGGGAAGAGGGAAATGGAAAGGCGTTATTGGCATGCGTGCCTTGTGTTGACATTGGGTGGGAAACAACACGAGATGGAAAACGTCACTGGGTTGGGTCATCTGGCTTTTGTGGGTATGCGATGCTGCCACGCACCAATGATGTACATGCCATGCTTGGCGCGGGAGAGCAGCACGTTGGTGCGGTTGGGGCTCTTGAGGAATCCGATCTTGCCGTCCATGTTGTTGCGCACGAGAGAAATTATCACCACCGTGCTCTCCTCTCCCTGGAAACTGCACTCCCCCGCCACACAACAGCACAGAGCGACTTGAGAGAATTCTCAAGGGCAAACCAGCAGCAGCAGCAGCAGACAGCATAGGACGGGCAAATGAGAGTCCCCGAGTCGGCCTCACTGAACAACCAGCAGCCTTGCTGCCAGATCAAGCCTGAACAGAGGAGAAGGACACAATCACAGCATTCCGCTGCTCACGGCAGTTCTTGCCAGACTTACTTGTCCACCGTAGCCAACCGCACTGCATCCTTCAGATTCGCCGTCGTCGCCTTGGGGGCAGTTGCATCCAGACCCATCCCCAAACCCTTCCCCGCCACCCACGACCCTCCAGACGCCCCTGCCCCACGTCCACCCTCCCCCACCTCACCTCCACCTTCCCCAGCTCCACCCTTCTCCTCCGCCTCCTCCACCACCTCCGCATCCCTCTCCCCCAGTCGCACATCCACCACCTGAGAAAGCGCCTGGCGCAGCTTCAGCAGCTGGCCTACATAAGGAGTGAGGATGGTGATCTCCCCTCCCGTGTACCCCTGCTGTAGGATGTACGTGGCGAGACCCACCACCAGGGCCGCCTCGCCCTCGTTGCTCTTGGACTTGCCCTCGTTGAAGTCGTCTAAGCCGCTCTCAGGGCAGTCGTGGTCCCAGAAGTGCAGGTTGCATGCCATGCCGCGCACGTCAGGATAGCTGGTGAGGGGGAGAGAGAGGGAGGGGGGGAGGGAGGCAGAGAGGGAGCGTTGGAGGCTTCCCCTCCCGTGTGCCCCTGCTGCAGCAGGTACGTGGCGAGGCCCACCACCATCGCCGCCTCGCCCTCGTTGGGCTGCGGGCTTGGGCTGCGGGCTTGGGCTGCGGGCTTGGGCTGCGGGCTTGGGCTGCGGGCTTGGGCTGCGGGCTTGGGCTGCGGGCTTGGGCTTAGTCGTCTAAGCCACTCTCGGGGCAGCCGTGGTCCCAGAAGTGCAGGTTGATCCCCATGCCGCGCACGTCGGGGTATCTTCGGAGGGACGGAGGGATTGTCTTTGAGACATTGAAATTTAAGGCGCGCGAATACTTGGAAGGCTGCCGTGGTCCCAGAAGAGCAGGTTGCATGACATCAACACATTGAGGTGCGATTGTGGAGGGCAAGACAAAAAGGAATGGATCGATGAACGGACAGGTGGGCTATAATTGAGCTATTTGTCGATGTGTTTGAAAGAAAACCGGGACTTCGGTTCGGGGGACATCGCAGCCAGCAAAAGAGAGAGCAGACAAATACATAGAGCAACAGGGACTTGCTGGCAGAAAGATACAGGGAGCGCCCTGAGATGAGAATACCGAGAAGGAAATAGGTCAACGTGCATACCCGTGCACAAGGGGGTGGTCCTGCAGAGCGGGGTAGATGGTGCAGCGGATGAGGTCGGCAATCTCAGGGCGCATGCGGCGCTGCGTGGCGAGCGTGTACACGGGCAGGCGTCTGGAGAGTGCGAGGCGCTCAAAGAGAGAGACGTCCAGGTCGAAGCCTTTGTGCGAGTCCTTGCTCAGCTCGTACACCTCCACCTTAGGCCGCAGCTGCAGGTGGTCGCCTGGCACGAGAGACGGGCATGGAGTGAGGTATTGACAGAAGGTATGCTGGTAGGTGAAGGATTAGCAAGGGAGTCCTTGCTCAGCTCGTACACCTCCACCTTGGGGCGTAACTGCAGATGGTCGCCTGTTAGGAGGGACGTGCCATGTGGGCATTGAGATGGATTTGAGGAAAGGGGAAGGCGGATGAACAAGAATCTCGCCCTCCTTGCTCAGCTCCAACACCTCATGCGGGTAATAAGACAGGCATAGGCACGCCACAGGGGTATTGGACAAATGTATATGCGACACATACATGCATGGGCTGAGGCGTGCACAACCACCCCAGCAGCTGCCATACCGATAAGAATGACGTGCTGGGTGCGAGGGGTGAGCGAGGTGAGAATATGCGCCTCCAGCACCTCAGCGGCCTCCTCCACAATGACAACGCGTGGACCGAGCGCCGTGATGAGGCGCTGCATCTTAGCCACACCGGACGTGGTCATTCCCACCACCTGCGCCCTCTCTAGGATCTCCAACTCCTCCATTTGCTGCAACTCACTGCGCTCCTTCACCTTCCTGCTCACACATGCATACAACACAGGTGCAGCTCAGCATTCACATTCGCAACTCGCAGAAAAGAGCACAGGGATTTGTGCAAGGAAAGGCGTGAGAGGGTAATACCTTGCAAAGTTCTCAACCTCGGCCTCGATAGCAGCATTCGCTGTGTCCCTCAACTCCCCCACCCAGTGCTCCAGCAGCTTCCGCCTCTCCTGCGCACTGGTCACCCATGGATCCGCCACGCACAGCAACTCCTCAATCTCTCGGTCACTCGTTTCATCTACCTCCACTGATTCCATCTGATTCTCCTCCACCTGCTCCTCCCATTCGCCCCTGCCTGTTTGCTTGTTCAAGTCACCAAATGCTTGGGATAGATCCTCCACACTCACCCCTCCTTGCTGCCGGCCCTGAGCCCCCCACATGCCTCCCCCTATCTCTGCCCCACTGCTCTCATTTCCATATCCCCCTCCTCTCTGCAGCCCTGCTCCCCCTGTCGCCGCACGCCCAAGCCAAGAGCGCAAGCCAGCAGCAGCTCCGCTGCCTGTCGCCAGCCCTACACCACCACCACTGCTGCCGCCTCTAGCATGGCCCGGCCTTCTCACCACCGCCTCACCATCCCCATCACTCCCATCATCACTCTCATCATCACCATCACCATCAGCATCCACATAGATGGACGACATGAGTTCAACGAGCCCTCTCAGCTCATCCCCCACGCCGTCATCTCTCTCATTGCTGCTCACATGCCACCCCTCCCCAACCTCAACCCCTCCAAGCCTTCCCAAGGCTTCATATGGATTCAGAGTAGGGCCCTCATTGCTGGCAGTCGATACACCCACCTTTTCCCTGTCCCCTATCCCCGTTTGCATCATTCGAGGAGGTAAATCAAGCCTGACGGAATCTCTTCCCTGGTTAAAAGCTCCCTTTTTGTGGCGGGAAGTTTTCTTTGGCAGCCCTCGCTTCCATCGGCCCCAGTTGTCTTGCCCACCCACTTCCTGCCAAGGGAGCAGCAAAAGCAAAACGGTCAGGATCAGGCGGACGTTGGAGTTGCATTGTGCGCGGAAATCCCGAGAAAGAGGAGATCGAAAGCATGCGCCCGTCCACCATCCAACCAACCCACCTGAAACCCTTCGTTGTCTGCCGCCTTGCTGGCAGCATGGAGGGCATAGAAGAAGCCGGGGTGGTTGGCGAGGAGGTGCGGGGCGATGGAGCGCCAGGCGAGCGAGATTGCATTGTCTCTGCGGTGCTGCAGGGCGTCACTGTGGGCACGGATGACTGCCTCCACCTCCTTGAGCCTGCTGTGCACCTCGTAGGTCGACTGCCTGTAGCCTGCATGCATGCACACACACAACCATTATCAAAAGCCCACACCAGACAATGGACAACTCTTGAGACGTCTCAAAAGTCACCTCGTGGGCCCAGTGCACGCGCACACACGAGGACACAGCAGGCAGGTGTGGAAGGTGCGTCTTTCTGTGCACAAGACTCTGTTTCTTGTTCTGTTCCTCGTAATAAGGCTGTACTCTTCTAATGCGAAAGACTAGCAAGTAGGCAACTCACTGCGGCTGTGGTGAAGGTGCGTGTCTCTCATAATGGTGGCCAGATTGAACTGCTGCAGTGACTCGCACCTGCTCCTGCCCCCCACTCGCACCACCTGCTCAAACAGGAACCATTGCAGATACCACCACCACAACAACAGTCTCCGTCGCCTCAGGAAAAACGTGTGGGAAGGACGGGTGACACATGATAGTTGCCGCGCCATGAACCACCTCTGGTTGGAAGAAGGACAGCAGCAGAGCAAGGAATGTCACGAAGAACAGCCCCCTCCCCCCCCCCCTCCTCCCCCCCCAACAGCAACTGAACTCACGTTCCTGATGCCACTGGCGATGAGCCCCTCCAGGAACTGATCCAGAGCATGGTTGGTGAAGCACACACACAGGATGGGACCCAGTAGACCGCCCCCACTGCTTGCTCCACCAGAGCCAGCGCCCTTGAGGGCATTGCTCAGCAGGATCTCCACCAGCTTTATTCCCACAAACGTCTGCCATCCCATGACAAACGGTTGGTCACTATTAGTACAGTATTGCATGTAAGGTCTACGCGTAGCTCCTCTGCCATAGTTCAGACGAATCCTTCAACAGCAGATACCACCCACTGGTTACCTCCCACTCTGTCAGCACACCCACTGAGTGAGGTCAGCCTCACGACCCAACTGAGTTACCCGATTCTGAAACACCTCACAACCCACCTTGCCTGTCCCCGGAGGGCCCTGCAGCAGAGCGAACTCCTGAGTAAGGGCAGCCTGGAGAGCCACTGCTTGAGCCTCGTCCAGTGATGTGCAGCGCAGGAGAGGATTGATGGGGAAGGCGGTGGGGTTGGAGATGGCCACGTTGCTCAGAGCAAACGCGTCCTCTGGAGTGGCGTCTGCCTGCTGGGAGGACGATGGTGCCTTGGTCTTGAGCAGCAGGCTCATGTTGTACCTGCCAAACATACGTACGGAAGATTTGTCTCTGCAATCTGCCAAAATGCTGAGAGAAACACACAGAACTACCAACGACAGCCTCTAAAAAAACGTGTTTTCCATGATTATCCATCCTCTCCTCTCCTCTCCTCTCTTCCCCAACCTGTCCTCCTTGACCTCGCTTCTCCACTTCATTCCTCTTTCCTTCACTCACAATGGAGCTGGACGAGTACCCAATCCCTCTACCATCCTCCTCTCCACTCTCCACTCCCCCACCCCCTCCAGGGCCTCCACCCCACCCCTCAGTCCCGTCCCACTTACATCATCCCTGCTTCGATGTATGCAGGCAGCGTATATCCCAGATTCACAGCAGCCCCGCCAGGTGCCCAGCCAGGTGCCCTGCCAGGTGTCCCGCAGATGTACTCAGCAAAGGGCAGCGAGGCCTCAGTGATGCTCTGAAGCGCCTTGAGGATGGGCTCATACGCAAAGAAGCTCCCATGCGCCTCCAGCATCACCACCTGCGTGCTGCCCCCACTCCCACCACTCCCTGCAGCACCCCCTGCAGTCCCCGCACTGCCGTCTCGGGCGATGAGCCCCAGCAGGTCTGCACTGAACCCGTTCCCCCCACACGGCTGCACGCCGATCTGAGGCCGGGCAGTGGCGAGCCTCTCCGTGTCCCTCGCTGTGATGGTGGCGAATACCAGCCGGTGCGAGCAGGATGCATCTGCTGCACTGCCTTGTTCCATGGGCTCCCTGTGACGGTGCTGCTGACTTGGACGGTGCTGGATCCACAGGCACACCAGGGAGCCGTTCTGCAGCCTCCGCGTGTTCTCCCAGAACTCCATCCTGCCAACCAAGCAGGGAAGATGTTGACTGATTGCTGACTGCGAGTCAATCCGAGAAGACGTCGCATGGACGCAAATCCGGTGCATATTCACCCCAAAGGAAACAGAAAACTGGCATAATCTGGCCTCATCAAATCAATGTACCTGTTACGAGAGCGCCGGCCACGCGGCATGGGAGGCTCCAGAAAGTCAATCAGAAAGTAGACGCCGTTTCGCTTATCAGTGTTAATAGACAGCACGTGCACGTCTCTGAGCAGATACACGTCCATGTCCTCAGATGAAAACCCCACGACGCCCTTCATGTCATCCGTCAGACCCCTCACCACCTCCCTGTCCGCCCGCACCAGCCCCATCGCCTCCTCCCTGCCACCACTGCTGCTGCTGCCACTCCGCCAGGTGCTGCTGCTGCTGCCATCGCCACGGGCGGCGGTGGAGGATTCGTGGTTGAGGTGGTGGAGGAGGAAGAGCGCCTTGCTCCAGAGCGGGGCGATGAGGTCGTGGCGCAGCAGGCGGAACTGGATGTCCACGTGCCGGGCCACCGAGCCCGCAGGCAGGTGGTGCGGCTCGTTGGCGTGGTTGTGAGGGAGGTATGGTGATGCCTTGCAGAGCACCTCCTGCATGGTTGGCGCCACTGAGATCTGCAGGCAGGCAAGGGAATCAGTCACCAGGACAGGAGACCATTAGCACGTGGTCAGGCCAATGTTTTTTTCTACTTGGAAATGATTCTTGTAGATTGTAACGGGTTGAATATGATAGCTGGATATTTAGTAAAAACTCCTACTGCTGACATCATAAATCTGACAGCTGTCATTTAGCATGTCAGACAAAAAATTCAGGAAGTTGAATCTTACAGCGGAAATGTCCACACAGTCGTTATCATGCCTTGGGCGGCCAGCCAAGCTCAGCTCACCCGGCCCATCCACAGCCTGCATGCTTGACAGGCGCTGACCTGCAGCAGGACAAGTTACTATCAGTTCGCGTCAAGTGACATCGATGATCATAGAAAACGCTTAATTCAAGGAAACGTATTCCTGAAAATAAACGTATCAGTCAACAAGGCTAACCTGAGGGGAAGAAGTCTTCGTGCAGCATCTGCCCTTCCTCCACCCTCCGCCTCTGCCTCTCACTGTGACTCCGCACATCAACAGCCCTCCTCAGCCGGTAAATCACCGACCGCAGATGGTGGTACCGGCCATCAAGCACCGGCTGCTCCCCCTGCCACCTCTCCAGCATTCCCTCCAGCTCCTGCAGGTCCCTGCTGGCCTGTGCCGCAGCGAACAGGGAGTGGAACCGCAGCATGGTCTCGTGAAAGAAGCTGAGCACGATGCCAAACGCCACGTCCCACTCTCTGATACCCCCATCGTCTCCTCTCCCGTCTGCTCTCCCGTCTGCTCTCCCGTCTGCTCGCCCTAGATCGCGGATCATGCCACGCTGGGTGAGCAGCCGCATGCAGGCGACGAGGTACTCCTGGAAGCCGTCCACCTCGGCGATGGCTGCCAGGGCCGTGTTGACCTTGCTTGATGCCGGGTTGTTGAAAAACGCAGGCTGCAATCATGCAGGAAACAAAACACAGAGAGAAAAACGTAAGACAGGAGTTCTCCTGAACATGGCATCCATGAGTGCTCCACAGAACTATAAGATAAGGATCGGTGGAAGAAAAGACGAAGTGCAACCTACTACCTGACAAATGACTTGTAGCATTGGCAGGATCACGCTCTGGAAGGATACGGTTCGAGGATGGTTGCCAGCTGATACTGATCTTTCAGCACCGCAGCAAACAGCCTCGTCGCAGATGCTCAGAAGCTTCCTCCTACCATAGAGCTTGTCGTCAGCGAGAACGATCACCAGATCTGCACCCACCACCCATGCCATGATGATCATTGCTTACGTCAGTCGTAGGTCAGTCAGCATCGTGACATAAAAAACGCAGATAACTAGTCAAAGGAGGAACTGACGGAACGGATGACGTGCCTGAAACATCGTGACCCTCCATTGCTTGAACGAACAGCCTCATCTGAAACTGATTCGAGAATTCCCGGTCGTTGGGTAAGAAGGTCCACAGGCTCGGCACCCTCCTCTCCTGCCCGTCGTAGCTCGCCGAACCTCCTCGCCCTCCTCCGCCGCCTCGTCTTCCCCATCCCCTGCCGTCCATTGTGCTTCCGGAGCTTCCTGCTCTGCCGCCATGGCCGCCGAACGTCCTGCCTCGCCCTCTGCCCAACTCCCGTGGAGAGCCGAACGGAGAATCCATCGAACGCTGAAACAGCCAGAGAGGCGCCTAACGACCTCTGGAATGCCGCTGTTGGCCATTTTTAGACCGAGCAGCAGCGACACTCTACGCGGAATCGCAGATGTCAATGCTGGACGAATTAGCCTGATGCGGAGGAGTCGCACGCGCATGCGACGATGCCAGATGGCAGCTCGTCTAGGGTTCTTCCTAGGAACGCCTTCTTCACGCCAGACAGTTCACGCACCAAGAGGCTGGGTCTTCCCAGGAACAGCTTCCTGCACCAGAGAACGGCATGCACAGCAGAGTACGTTGAAGCGGGATTTTATTCGGAGAGGCCAACATGTGTGCGTGTAAGGAAAATTCCTCTGTCATTACTTAGCGTCCCCGCTCAGCGCGTACACCACTGTAGCACCACTGTAAAGAAAAACCCTTTTCCTTACAGGGGTTTACTCAACCGCTTACAACCCCAACTTTCGGAAGTGCACGTTCGGCCACTTCGCTTGCTGCCGAAGCAACCTCGCGTCGCCTTCGGCCTTTCCTTTGCCCAACCTGCACCCAACCTCGTGTTCCCGAGGTTCCTGCCTAGCTAGGTTGGTCTACTATATTAGCGCGTGCCTTCATTGTATTGTCAGTTCATTTGAGTCACATCTTCGTTATTCGTTATTCCGCGCACTCTCTTTTACAACTCATAACACCTGGTATCAGAGCTACTTTCTTAGTTCACCCTGCTTTTCGAGGGTAGTTTGGTGGCACGGGTGTGGTCGGTATAGTGGACTACACGACGGTTGGCTGCAAGGTTTGTTAATTCAATCCTGCCCGACTCCGATAGTTCGTGTTTTCCACTCACCGGAGGGCCACGGATACCCCTCTGCCCACCAGACGAAGTGTGCGACTCATGGATCAGGAGACATTGAACAAGATGCTGACGCAAATCGCAGAGCTACATGCAATAGTGCAGACTCTATCGGCAGAAGTGACAACACTATGAGGAGAAAACGCCGAGCTACGCCAAACGCGAGGTGAAGCGCGTCAGGAGTCGCCCGATGAAGAAGGCGAGGGCAACAGTCAAGCAGTGAGCAACCCGTTGGACGCGCTCACACGTGATTTCGAAGAAGATGATAGGCAGCGAGCGGCAGCGACGCCAATTGCAGCCACAACGATCAAGATTAAACCCGTCAACCCGCCCCCGTTCAACCCTATGGAAAGACTACTACAGTGAAGGGGTGGCTTTTCGGCGTTGAACTCTTCTTCACTGCAGCAGGCGTGAACAACGATGCCACGCGTATTAATTACGCGGTTTCTCTCCTTCGAGGCGCAGGGCCGTACGATCCGCCGTACTTATTGACGAGGTTGGGACGGTCGACCAAGTTCATGGTATCAACATGATACGTACGTGCGACTGGTACAGTATTTGGTTTTACATATGGGTCCCATTCAAATGTGTTTTTTACCAACTATTTGAGGCATCCGTTTGAAAACAGATTGAAAACATTCAAACTGGTGCTCTAAAAATTGCGTAAATATCACTCTTCAAGTTATATCCCCAAAATGTCAAACCAAATATTTAGGGTTGCTACGCAATCCAATGAGATTTTCACCATCATGTACAACGTTTGTATAATTTTCATGTGTAAGGAACCATCTGTACCTTTTCCGCTCGTACCGTATATCGAGACTGTCTGTGGCTGAGCACGAAAACTGCCTGTCAAAGGCGGGAAGCGATTCGGTATGGATGTGTCTGCAGTTGACGGTCACGATCGCATCGTTCAGCTGTCACCTCTCCATCTCCCCACAATTTGCAGGCACTAGCAACTCCCGCAAGTGTTCTTGCCAAGCCAGCTTCTCTGCCGCACATCAGCCCAGGGACGTCTTATTAGAACTTTTTTGCATTCCGGCTGCCCGTTTACAGAATGGCCGGCTGTCCGCCGGCCTCTTCACCCGGCTGCTTGCCGCTCGAGGCGGTTCCTTCCGGGTGCGTCGCAGGCGACGCGTACGCGCGACTCGAAGGTAATAATAATTCCAATGACAGGTTTTACTGTCAATCAAGAAGGCATAATCAAAGCATCGTTTAGCTGTTTACCGATAGAGATACCTTCCTGTTTACCGATTTGGGAGAATAAAATAGTAGAAGAATGATTATCAAAAGCAAATCCAGAAGAGCGCGAGAAGAGCGATTGGCGGAAGCCGAACAGAGCGGCGGCTCGGTAGAAAACCGTACGTCGACCGGAGGAAGAGAGATGGCGAATTTTGCTGCTCAGACTGTCAAAGCTCGCCGATGCGACGACGTTCGGGAAGAAACGATGGGTTTACAGCGCGCCGATTCGACCACCGGTAGCAGCTCACTTAAAGGGGAGAAAGGCAAAGGAGAGCAGATCAGTGGCGGAGACGAGAGAAGTGCGGAAGGAGCGGGGGCGAGAAGCGCGGAAGGAGGGGGGGCGAGAAACGCGGAAGGAGGGGGGGCGAGAAGCGCGGACGTTGATGGGTCCGCCGTGAAGCTTACGTGGCAGGAGCGGAGTGGCTTGCGGCAGCGCTCGGGATCCAAGGGACCCTCGAAGCGCGTGCTGAAGCGAGTTGAAGCCCCCGACGTGAGAGGCGGGCGGGTTGGGCACGGGCGGGCGGGAGCGGGCAGGACCGGGCGGGAATTGGGGGGTAGGGGGAAAGGAGACATTTGCAAGAGGGGAGGGCCGCTGGAAGGGGAAGGGCGGGAGGGGAGCGGGGAAAGGAGTGGGCGCAGGTTGTTTGTGGCATGGCGCATAGGGGCGCGGAGGAGGAACTGGCTCATTGTGCCTGCATCACGTGGCCTGTCCCCCTTCAGGCCATCCCCCTTCCGTTCCCTCTTTGCGCACTCTCCGCTCTCTCCTCTCCCGCTCACCGCACCTGACCCCCTTCATTGCGCACCTCCTTTATTCCTTTCCCCTATCTAGCTACCCGGCCTTCCCCTTCCCCCCCCCCTCTCCCCCCCCCCCCCCCCGTCCCACTGCAGGGCGTGCTGGCGACATACGACGACGCGTTCCTCTTTGGGCGCATCCCCCTGCCCATGCGCCTGCGCGCCATGCTCTCCAAAGGGCCCCTCGCGCGCCTCTTCCAAATCGTACCGCCCCCTCCCGCCCTCCTTCTTGCCTCCTGCTGCACGCCTGCCCTCTTGTCTCCTGCTGCACGCCTGCCCTCTTGTCTCCTGCTGCACGCCTGCCCTCTTGTCTCCTGCTGCACGCCTGCCCTCTTGTCTCCTGCTGCACGCCTGCCCTCTTGTCTCCTGCTGCACGCCTGCCCTCTTGTCTCCTGCTGCACGCCTGCCCTCTTGTCTCCTGCTGCACGCCTGCCCTCTTGTCTCCTGCTGCACGCCTGCCCTCTTGTCTCCTGCTGCACGCCTGCCCTCTTGTCTCCTGCTGCACGCCTGCCCTCTTGTCTCCTGCTGCACGCCTGCCCTCTTGTCTCCTGCTGCACGCCTGCCCTCTTGTCTCCTGCTGCACGCCTGCCCTCTTGTCTCCTGCTGCACGCCTGCCCTCTTGTCTCCTTCTGCACGCCTGCCCTCTTGTCTCCTTCTGCACGCCTGCCCTCTTGTCTCCTGCTGCACGCCTGCCCTCTTGTCTCCTGCTGCACGCCTGCCCTCTTGTCTCCTGCTGCACGCCTGCCCTCTTGTCTCCATGACATGGCTGCTTCTCCCTGCGTGCTTCTCTCCTCTTAGCCGCGCACCTGCTCCCCTCCCCCATCCCCCACCTTCACATTGCACCTCCCCCTCACATTGCACCTTCCCCTCACATTGCACCTTCCCCTCACATTGCACCTCCCCCTCACATTGCACCTCCCCCTCACATTGCACCTCCCCCTCACATTGCACCTCCCCCTCACATTGCACCTCCCCCTCACATTGCACCTCCCCCTCACATTCCACCTCCCCCTCACATTCCACCTCCCCCTCACATTCCACCTCCCCCTCACATTCCACCTCCCCCTCACATTCCACCTCCCTCCCGCCCCTCTTCCCACCCTCTGCTCCTCGGCCCGCCCCTCTTCTGCGTCTCCCATACAGCTGGACGTCGTGGCAACGCTGGGGTCCGTCTCGCTCTATGTGTGGCAAACGTGAGTGGGCGTTTGAGTCAAGTGTAAGCAATTAGTATTGTATTTTGCAGCAGCCAACCTGATCACTCTATCACTCCATCCCCGCTCCATCCGCACTCTCCTTGCGTTCTTCTGCCCCTCTCTTGGTTACCATCCCAGTGCAAGTGTTGAAAGCACGCCCTTTCTGAGGCACCCCTCGTACCCTCCATGCCCCACCCCCTGCCCCCTTCCATGCCCCCTCCGCCCCCCCTCCTGCCCCCTTCCTGCCCCCCCCCTGTCCCCTCCCTCCACCCGTCCCCTGCCGCAAGTATAATCCAGACACAAGGTTGGAGTGGATCGTCACTCTGCAAACGGTCCTCAGCTCCTTCTTTCCTACCGCGCATACATCATCAACATGACTTCTGAGTCGACTCAAAAGTCACCCCTGTCCGTGGCCCCTTCCCTCCGCCCCTCCCTGCCGCAGGTACAATCCCAGCACGAAACTGGACTGGATGCTCACCCTGCAGACCGTCTTCAGCTCCTTCTTTCTCATTGACTACGCTATCAACACCTTCAGGTGCTCGC